ACTAAGGCTTTCAAGGTTTGCCCAATATTGGCTAGCCATACCCGTGAGTTTCATTTTAGCAAATCTAACCTTTCTAGCCTCAAATATATTGTACCATTTAACGAAACTATCTATACCCTTGATCCAGTCCAAAAAGAGCTGGGGATCGAGAGTACCATCAAAGGTTGGGGCATCGACCTTAATATTTTTCAACATAGGTGTATCAGGATCGTTATTAAGGTCATGACCATATTAGGGAGCTCGATAAGGGGCACAGGGGTGTCCCTCATCCGGTAAGGTGTCATCCCCATACAAGGAGGCCTAGAAGGTGTGTAAGGTGTAGGGTGATTCCAAACTCGATCTAGTGTGTTAAATCATTCCGTCTTTTGACGACGAAGCTCAGCTAGGTTGACTTGATTTTCTCTAAGTTTTTGACTGATTGTGTTCATTTAACCTACCAATAGATCTAAAATTCTGTGAATTTGTTCTAGGTCCATCCTATGTCTAAGGGTGACTCAGAACTATGCAGATGTTAAAGAAAAATAATATGATAGCATGCAAGTAAATTTTAATGCGTGCAAGATGAGATTTTAGATGCTAAACATGTACGAAAGAAATCCTAATAGGCACCTAAAATGCAACCATGCTCTGATGCCAGATGATGTATGACTAAAGGCGTGGGTTGATTTTAAGTAGGAAATTATACACTTATTGCAGAACAATCACAACTATTCAACTTCTAGCAATTTTAAATTAAAGATTGAAAATAATAAAAAGATTAATATATTAGGCAATTTGTTACACGATAATCGTTAGGACCACAAAATAATCAATTTAAATCAAGCTTTTCAATACATGGAAGTTTTCAAAGGAAATCCCAATAATAACATTTAGATTAGTCACCATGAAAATCCCTCACTCAACTCTTTATAATTGGTGAGAACAGAGAAAGCTAGCATAACTTTTATGATGCCATGATGAAGGGAAAACTTAGAAGAGAATAGACTTTGAGGAAAATTCACTTTTGTCAGGATTCGAAAATAAGTCGCCACTGAATGGAATGGTGTTGTTGGTCGATAGCGGTGACGAGGAGGATCCTCTCAACATAGTCTTCAACGGATTGGTCGTTCTCAAAGTACGTCGAAGAACAGAGACTGGAGGATGTCGATGAACCCTTGGTTGTCGAATACGAAACCATGATCACGTTCAGGATAGGCCATTCATGAGTATGAAGACCGAAAAAGGTGTTGTTTCTCCTTCCTTAGGTGTAGTATCAAGCATATAAGACGGGGAGTAGGGGAGGAGGGAGGAAGTTGGGTGGCCAGCCAAGGCTAGGAGAGGGGCTGAATTTGATTTCGGATTTTATGGATTGACTAAGGAGGGAAAGTAAATTTCAAAACTAAAATTTAATTTTAGATTTAAATAGGAAGTGGATTGAAGATTTTGAAATTTGAATTCCTAATACAAAGAGAGAAAGGAGGGTAGGGGGCCAGCCCTTTGATTAGGGGTTTGATTAGGGTTCCAAAGGGGAAAGGGAGATAATGTAGGAGAGAGAGGAGGGAGGGGCCGGCGGCTTGTTTGGGGATTGGGGGTTTAAGTGGAGGAGTTAATGCTTGCTCTATTTAGAATCATGAAATACGAAAGGATGTTTTAACTCAAATCCTATTTAATATTCAAATAGACATGATTTAAAGGACTTCCCTAAAATAGGGTTCCTCATTTAGGAAATAAAATTCAAATTCAAATCTAATTGAATACGAATTTAAATAGTTTCCCAAGTTATAAGGAGCTAATTTAGGAAGGGTTTTGAATACTAGATTTAAAATTTTGGAGCCAATGAAGAGGTTGGCCGGCGGCTTAGGCAGGAGGATTATGGTTAGGGCCGACGGCTAGGGTTAGGACTAGGAGTTGAGATTTGGGCCGGTGGCTATGGGAAGGGGAAGGGCCTTGCTGGCCGACGGCTAGGAGGATGGAGGGGCTTTGGACCGGTGGCTAGGAGGATGGAGTGCTTTGGGCCAGCAACTAGGAGGGAGGAAGGTGGAGGCCGGTGGTTAGGAAGAAAAAGGGAGTGAAGGCCGACGGCTTGTGGAGAAGAAAAGTGAGATTATTGGTGGATGAGGAGAACCACAAACTCGAACGCTTCCTGCGGTCAGTGGATAGTACGTCGACCCATCATAGGGACTTCAAACTCTCACAAGAGCTCTTAAACTTACCAAAACACTTGTGAATCTGATTTCAGGAAATATAATTTTGATGATAACAAACATTTCTATTTTTCTACGACTGTCTTGCCTACTAATATTTCAGGTCCACAAGATCAAATTGCAAATCAAACCAGCTCAATATTGGGTAGATTAGGACTGAGTTAGCTTGTAATGTACGTCAAGTGTCTTTTACCTTTTCTTGAGTCCATTATAACAATATGGGTTCTGATGTTAAGTAACCTTGCACACACACACTTGGGGGAAAAATTCTAACTGTTTTAGAGTTTTCTGTTTTCGATCATATCGTACGGGATTATCTCAAATCATCCTGGACGATCAGTTAAAAATAAAAACCCTAATTACGGCATCCTGATTAAGGCATCTGCAATTAAGCAAATCGTCCTAGACGATATTATCATCATCCGGGACGATAGGATCAAATCAGAAAGAATCAACCGTCACAACCTCTTAGGTATGTTTTATTATTGAACATCATCCAGGACATCGTCTAGGACGATGCACTACAATTATGCCTAAATTAGTTTGGTAATTAAGGAAAGCAATTAAGGTTTGATTGCTTGATCATATGATCCTGGACGATCGCAGGATCGTCCGGGACGAATAGTTAACAAACCTTAGTTCTTCCTGGAAGATACATAATCGGCCTGGCTCCATCCATGGCGATGTTCTGGCCGATATATGATATTTTGTACTAATCGTCCCGGACGATCGTGAGATTGGCCTGGACAATCAAGTTATTTTTTTATCGTCCAGACATCCATCCAGGGCGATGTTCTGGACAATATGTGACGTTTTGTACTAATCGGCTCGGACGATCATGAGATCGTCCTGGACTATCAAGTTACTTTTCATCGTCCAGACATCCATCCAGGACGATGGTCTGTACGATATTCGACGAATTGAACTAATCGTATAGGACGGACGATCTGAACAAAGGAACCTTCTAAATTGTCCAGACTCTCTCAAATCGTCTTGGCTGATTAAGCTAAATTTGAACTGAACATACGGGACGATCGATCAATCATCCTAGACGATATTTGACAATTAGTTGTAAATTAGGGCAAATTTTGAGCCCTTTTTTAAAAGAACTCTTGTTTTTTTAAGAGGAGATCTTTTGTTGCTGTCCTGACCTGAGAGGGCCCTGAGGAGAGGGAGAGCAAGGGAGATAAAGAGAGGATCTTGTGAGGGGGAGTTTGTGAGGGGTTTCACAAAGGTTGCTCCAAGCAAGGATCCGAGTTGTATTCTCTGGTCATCGTCCCTGGTTCCTTGGAGGTTCGAGAAAGGTCTACTTCAGCAATTGATCGAGGTTCTCTGTCTGATTCAGGATGAAGCAAAAGGAGTTGGGTTCTCTGTCTGCTTCAGGAGCAAGCAAAAGGAGTTTGGTTCTCTGCCTCACCGGGGTCGGTGGAAGGGAGTTTTTGTACGGGCTTCTCCACCTTGCTGTGGAGGCAAAAGGAGAGACACTGAGTTTAGTGCAATACCCGCAGGAAAGGCTCCGTGGAGTGGACGTAAGTCAAGTTGACCGAACCACTATAAAATCTGGTGTGTTCTTTCTTATTATTTTTCCGCATTTAATTTCTGTGGTGATTGTTTGATTGTGTTTGTGATTTTGTTTGGAGAATTTTTTAAATGCTAATTCACCCCCCTCTTGCTAGCCTTAGGACTAGTTCATAAGGGCTTAACATCCCTGGCAAACTTTTAAGTTGCATCAGTGCACTTTCAAACACAAGTGCATGAATTTTTCATAATAATCACCCTCTCCAAAGAGGGGGGCTATAAATAGTTAAATACAATAGTAAAATAAAAAGACAAAAATGCCCCTTGGAGTCACATGAACCTACTCCCTCAAGTGAGGGTAAAAATGAAAAAGGTACAATAATAAATCAAATGCAAAAGATTTCTAAAAAATAGAGAAGTGTTAATCATGGTCGTAGATCTCTGACCTCTCCTCTGGTAAACTCTCCACTGTCGGATGTCCTCATCATTTTTATTATGGTATCATTACAATTTATCATTATCATTATTGCAAATAACATGTTACATTCCTAGAATTTATAACATCATATAATATCATGTATGTTATCAAAATTAAATTTAGTCAAGCAATTTATGTTAAAAGTTAATCATAATTTAGTCTAAAATTTTCATAATATAATATATATAATTATCTTCCAAATATTTTTATAATGATAGACTTTCTTTTTACATGATGCCATACACAAATTTCAACACACACAATGATTAAGAGAAATCCTTTGTATTTCAATTGTTAAGTCTCAATCTCGAGACCTATGCCCTAAAAATGACAAGTATGTCACTTTATCCAAGGCTCTCTAGTTAGCATGGACCATATAAATTACCTTTAACACACAAAAAATACAATTAAACTAGAAACGAAATTGAAGACCGAAACTAATGAATGAAATCATAGAAACTAAAACTTCTATAAATATGAAACCAAATCAACATTTTTAAGCTTGTTATTAACAACAATATAGCTCGAGGAAAAGTAATATGATTATCCTATTAACTTATTTAGGTAATTTTGAACCCATGCCAAAGAACAAGAAAGGGAAGCCCAAGTATATTCATTTGTTAAGGAAGCATGTCTTCACAACATCAAAAATTATGATGGAACTATGAGCATTATGATTACAAGACCCACTATGTTACATGCAAACATTTAAACAAGCTAACATTTAACAAAATTGCTCGAAACTATAGGAGATACCTACTCAATTCCCTAAACAATGAAATACATAGCAAATTCCTAACAATTTCATCTTAAGAACAAACCTGCTCACCACCTTTGGTGCCTAAAGAGTTGGGATCTGTTGTTGTTAGTTCTTGATGTGATGAGAATTGCATGTAGATATTCCTTCCCCTGACATGACACAACATTTTACATAAATCAGAGTACAAAATTTTAAAACATTTCTTTCACAAAGATCACCATAATTCACACTTTCTTCATGTCAAATATCAAAAACATTTCTTTCACAAAGAAACCTTAAACATGGATAATCTGACGTCAATTAAGACTCTATTCAGTGGCCAAACTAGCATCATACATATTTCTTCATGTTTTATTGTAAAATGGAAAAAAATAGTAAAACTAGTAAGCATTATATATATATATATATAGACTAATAAAGGACTCTACCACATCAGGAGAAATAGAGCAGCTACTACAACACTAGATTAAATCAACACCAGTAATTCAAAACAGAATACATCATCTAAATCTTACACGTGTAAAGAGCACCCTTACCTTTTTCTGTGTAACCAATCCTCCTCCTATAAAGAGGGCAAACAGTAAATGTAAATATTGCAATGAAGGAAAAAAACACACTTTACACTATCCTGTGTCTTCTACTTTACTCTCCTCACAAAGCTTTTCATATTTTCAACATTTACTGTCATGTGAACTTTTGCTTTATGGTATCATAGATTCCTTCTTGACTAACGGCAATGTGCAAGCATGGACACTTCTACAACCTCCCAGGCGAGCACTCAGGCAGCAAAAATCACTCATAACAAAACCCAAATACCCTCCTCTCAAGTTTGTCATCTCCAACATTAAGCAACATTGTGCTAAAACAGCTCTCCAACGAGAACTACCCTACATGGCGTTCTCAAATACTCAAGCTCTTTCATGCAAATGGGTTTGCACAATATCTTGACAGCACTCTCCCACCACCACCTCATTTACACATCGGCCCAAACAATCTCTCATAAATCAACCCAGCGTATAATAATTGTCTTCTGATATACCAAAACCTAGCTATAGCTCTTTGCTCAACCATCACATCCGCCCTGCTGCCATACGTTCTCCACCTAGACTCTAGTAAGGATATATGGCTCACCATGGAACACCGCCTTCAAACATCCAACTGATCCTAAGTAATACAGTTGAAGAATGAATTACATAACATTTCGATGGGCAATCTTACCATGTCTCAATATCTTACCAACATCAAAACACTTGTTGATAACATTGCAGCAGCCGGCGCAACCATCGACCCCTAAGACATCATCTTATATACCCTCAATAAACTACCATCACAATATCAGTCCTTAAAAACTTCAATCCGCACAGCACTCACCCCTGTGAGTTTAGAAGATCTCTACTCACTTATAACTAGTGAAGAAATCAACATCCAAGCCGAAGCCACCTGATATCATACACCTTCTGATCCTCAGATTGCTCTCTACACCTCTAGAGGAAGAGGAACCCATGGATATGGCTGCCACCAATACACTCAGCAACATTCCAACAACGTGCAAGCTCCCAAACGATCGCCCTCTGTATCAATCACCTGTCAGATTTGTGGCAAGCGAGGACATTCCACTCCAACCTATTGGCACCTCAAGAATCAAAATTTTGTCTCTCCAGCTACTCCATTAGTTGCCTCTTCTTAGCCCACCGTTGATTAGTACCTTGATATGGGAGTTTCTTCACATCTTACTCCCCAAATAGACCACATCCTGGACCTGAAGCCTTACACTAACTCTGATCGTATCACAGTGGGCAACGGAGGCTCCCTTCCCATCTCTCACTCCGGTAGAGGACTACTACCTACCCCCACACGTAACTCACTCTCTCCTTGGTTCTACATATCACATCCCTTTCTCATAACCTCATCTCCATATCCAATCTCACTACTGACAATAACATCATTGTTTCCTTTACTCCTTCCAGCTTCCAACTCAAGGATCTGAAGACAAATTGCCTCCTCCTCCAAGGTCTCTCCCGCAATGGCCTATACTGAATTAGCACACAAGACTATTCTTCCACAGCCATGTTCACCTCCACCTCATCCAGTCTTCGATGGCACCATCGTCTCGACCACCCTCACCAACAAAAAACTACTACAATCTCCAAGCATAACAAACATTTGCAAATTTATATACCCTCATCTTTATGTTATTCTTGTATGGTCTCTAAAGGCCACAAATTATCTTTAATTAACTCTACATCATATGTACTGACCTCTTGAATTAATAAATTCAGACGCTTGGGGACCTTCCCCTATTGCATCCATCCAAGGGTACCATTGTTACATAATCTTTGTTGATGATCACTCCATGTTCACATGGTTGTTTTCAATGCACTCTAAGACCAAAGCTCTCCAACATTTCACGAATCTCAAACTCCTACTTGAAAATCATCTCCCCTTTAAAATAAAGTCTTCAAACCAACGGCGGAACCGAATATACTAACAATAACTTCCAAACTGTTTTGCAAACCCATGTCATTCGCCACAAACTTAGTTGTCCATATACACCTGAACAAAATGGCCTTGCTGAAAGAAAGCATAGGCATCTCATTGAAACAACAAGAACTGTTCTTCAAGCCGCCACACTTCCATTCCAATTTTGGGTAGAGGCACTTCTAACAGCCACATATCTCATTAATTGAATGCCTTTAACCACTACCAAAAATAAATCACCACTTCACATTTTATTCAAACAAAAACCGAACTACTCACACCTCAAAACCTTTGGCTATGCTTGTTATTTAGTAATCCATTTGCATCAAAGACATAAACAATCCTCTAAAGCTCCACTGCATCTCCATTGGCTACTCAGACAAACCCAAAGGGTACAAGTGCTTCAATCCCAATACTAGTAAACTCATTATCTCTAGACATGTTCGCTTCGACGAATCAATTTTTCCCTTTGCCTCTCAACCACCAAACCAACCATCCACATCATCAACCACTAATCAACCAACCCTCACTGCTTACTCCAATGCCATACATTCAATCCATAGAAATAATCAATTCTAACCATCATACCCAATCCATTGATAGCACCATTCCTACCAATACCAACATACCCAACCAGTCCCACACAGACCCTCATCATCTGCATACTGACCTCCTCAATATCTCTAATCAGTCCAATTCAAACAACTCAAGTACTCTACCACCACTAGCATCCAACCCACCCATACGACACCCTATAACCACTAGATCTCAAACCATCTCACTCAAACCCAAACAAATCCTAAATTTGTTTCACCACACATCTACCTCTAATGATCCAACTTCCTTCTCAGCAGCCTTAAAACACCCACATTGGCGTCAAGCCATGGCCGAAGAATTTCTTGCATTACAACGGCAAGGTATGTAGAAACTAGTTCCCCCTCCTCCTACTCAACACATCTTAGCTTGTCGCTTGACATATCGTACCAAATATCACGCCGACCATTGCACGCCACAAAGCAAGACTACTCGCTCAAAGTCATCGTCAGGAACATGACATTGACTACTTTGAAACTTTTAGCCCCGTAACCAAACATCCCTCCATTCACATTATGCTTACCATTGCCCTAATCAACCATTGGCCAATTCAACAACTAGACATCGTCAACGCATTCCTCCATTGCTCTCTAAATGAAATTGTTTACATGCATCAACCACAAGGCTTCCGTGACACACAATTTCCAAATCATGTATATCATCTCCACAAATCCATCTATGGCATCAAGCAATCCCCCCGTCAAATGATTTAACAACTTCTCCAGCTACCTTCTCACATTGGGATTTCATCAAAGCCAAGCCGATCCGTCACTATTAATCATCGACCAACAACCCACGACCATCTATCTCTTTATATATGTCGATGATGTCCTCCTCACCAGCAATGACTCCACGGCAATACCTACCTCTTAATAAAATCAGCTCTAAATTCCAAATTAAATATCTGGGCAACTTTCTTGGCATCCAAATTACTACCCACTATAATCATATTTTTCTATCTCAATCTCTATATGATGTTTCCATTCTCATCAAGGTAAGCATGTCACAATGCAAGCCACTTTCCACACCATCCCCCAAAAAATCGAATTCGCAATCAACCCAAATCATATCTCCATTTGAAAATTAACTCTATCGGCATCTAACGGCTTCCTCTAGTACCTCACTATAACCCATCCTGACATTGTGTTCTCAGTGAACCAACTCAGTCAATATATGCATCAGCCCTTACCGCAACACTCTCAAATGCTTAAATGACTCCTCTGTTACATCAAAGGGGCATCTACATTCGGCTTAATCATTCAACCAGGTCCTTTGCATCGCACCACCTATTGTGATGTTGATTGGGCTACAGATCCCCTCACCAAACAGGAATTTGCTAATTCTTAGGTCCCACTATGATCTCATAGCAGGTAAAGAAGCAAACGTTGGTTGTGAGATCGACTACATAAGTCGAACAATGAGCTTTTGCAACCGCGATAGCCAATGTTATATGGATCCGCCATCTTCTTCGCGACTTCAATATACCAATTTCTCAACCAACGGATATCTACTATGATAACATCTCCATTATTGCACTCACCAACAACCCAATATTTCATGCTCTAACAAAACATATCGAGATAAATCACCATTTTATCAGCGACCATATCAACTCTCATACCATCAAAGTACTACCGATCAGCTCCCAAGATCAAGTTGCTAATATTCTCACTAAACCCCATTCTACAAATCATTTTTAGCAACGTACGACTCAAACTGACAGTTCATCAGCCATTGTTAGTTTGCGAGGGGGTTAAAACAGACTTTGCCACATCAGGAGAAGTGGAGCAGCCACTGCAACAATAGATTAAATCAACACCAGTAATTCAAAACATAATACATCATCTAAACCTTACATGTGTAAAGAGCACCCTTACCTTTTTCTATGTAACCATTCCTCTCTATAAAGAGGGCAAACAGTAAAGGTAAATATAGCAATGAAGTAAAAACACTCTTTACACTATCCTGCGTCTTTTATTTTACTCTCCTCACATAACTTTTCTTATTTTCAGCTATATATATATATATATATATATATATATATATATATATTAACAATATTGGGCTGGTGATCTAAATCAAAATGAGATTTATTGCAGTGGCTTCACCTAATGCTTGGTTGGACAGTCTCATAATACTGCAGGACGTTAGCAGCAGTAGAAACATCATGCATCTGAATAAGAGCCTGCCACCATAGAACAAAACTACAACATAGATAACGTATTCATACGAAAATTAGTTTGCCATAGCAATCTGGCAAAGAAAATTTACATAATAGCCAAAAAAGCATTTACATGCCTGATTTTTTGCTCTTAATATGACAAGCTTCATGACCACGCCAAAGGGCTGCACCAATTGAAGAAGATCATTCTGGAGACCAAAAGCAAGCATTAAGCTGCATTTTTTTTTTACGCCCGAAAGCAAAATTAAATAAAATTTCTCGGTAAAATAGAAAAGACCTCATTTATCTCGTGCCCCACATTCCGAATATGAATAACCTTGGAAGGCTCTGTCATCCTAAGCTGACCAAACTCCTCTGCAAACATCAGATTTCTTCATACATTACCTTAGCCGTATAGCAGAGCGGTAGCCAAAAGTGCAAGCGATGTAATAAAGCGCGAGAAAGAAAGGATGTGAAGAGAGAGCTAACGGAACGAAATAGGAAACCGGAGGGTTACGAGCGCTTTAGGGTTTTGAGAATCGAAAAGGAAATGGAATTCAATAGGCAACCAAAGCCGATGCTGCTCCTGGTTTCTCGTGTTCTATCAGCCCCCTTAAAACCAAGCGTGAGCTTTGTGGTAATTGGATCGAATTGACTCCAGGAGAATCGAAGTTGTGATTTTCAGGGTCGGGAGTTTTGGCCGGTGCTGTTTGGTATCAGATTTTATTTAAATTCAGATTTACGAAACTATGGGGAGTTAAATTTTCAAAATTATTTGATAATATTCATGATAAATTTTATTAAATTTTGTGTGACTGTTTAACTATAGAGCATTACATCTTGAAACAAGTTGATTTTTCTTCCCTCTCACACCAACAGAATCTTAAATTCGCTGAATCAGAGGATTTTAGAAATCCGATATTTATTGCGAAAAGGGATAATTTTTCGTCTACCACGACTTTCATTTACCGTGAGATTTGGTTTTACATTTTAGGGCGTTTGACTGGATTTCGCTCAAATCCGTCTCAAATATGATCTAAATCATATTATCAAACAACCCTTAAGTTACAAACATGTTATACCCATAGAATATGAATATTGTTGCGGACTAGAATATACGCAGTGATAGAGTTAGAAAATTTCTGTCTCAGCGTTGTACGGATATCTAGCACACAAACATAGGAGAAATAACACCATGATTTTTACGTGGAAAATCTTGGAAAGGGAAAAAATCACGGGATCACACCCAATTGAAATAATTTAACTAGTGTTTAAAATTTAGGACAATTAGATTACAAAACTTCACTTCCGGATTTAAATCCAATTACAAACAAGTTGCGTATTCGAGCTGAATTCAAAATCACTTAGAATTCTGGTGACACTGGGAAATCGGGTAGAGTTCTGGCATTACTTGGGCATCGGGCAGAATTCCGGCGTCACTCGGGCATCGGGCAGAATTCCGGCGTCACTCGGGCGTCGGGCAGAATTTCGGCGTCACTCGGGAGTCGGGCAGAATTTCGACGTCGGTGGTCAAGGAGTTTCTTCCCTCCTATCCTTCTCTTCTTCTTCTTTTATACTTCTCCTCTTCTTCTTCTTGCTTGGGTCCCCTCTCAAGAGAAATGAGGAATTTATTTATAGAAAATCTGGAGTGGCATGGCCTGTAAATAGGAGGAGGATCAAGGGAAAATGTAGAGTGGTTCGATTGAAGGCCGATATTGAATCCATTGATTGTGAATCGTTCGTCAGACAGTTGAAGGTCTTAATGATGTCAGAATTTGACGATCTTGGGCTCATTGGATTAGTCTCATCAAGCCACTCAATTGGACTATAAGTTCGTCATGTTTGGTAACTCAAATTATGGTACAAACTTTGCAACTTCACTTTGGGTACTTGATTTAGACTCATTGGGGCTCGGATTGAGTCGAATTTGGTGTCGTTGGGTTCATATTTCCAAGAAGCTCAGTTTGACTGTAAGTTTTCTGAAATCGAAGTTCAGGTGATCCCAAATTTAATTTTTGAAGTTTACAGCTTGATTTTGTCACGAGATTCAAGCCCAATCAAGATAATTTATTGATGATACATAAGTTGCCCCTCCTGTTTTCGGACGTCAAAGCTCCATGAGTCCAAAAATACGCATTACAGACTTTAGAGAATTTTTCATGTGATTTGAAATCCAATCTTGCATATAGGAGCCCCAAATAGCATTAGAAGTGCCGAAATTGAGTACAGAACGTTGAAAAATGGTACCGAGGACCCTAAAAACATTTGATTTGGCCTTTTTGGGCAAAACTTGGACCCGAAATTGACTGGGCAACCAAACCGGCCGGCCGGCCGCCGCCAGCACAAAACCGTCTGTCTTCGCGGGCGACTAATCTACCTGGGCCAGCCCGTGGCCCCGCTCTGTCCGCCTGGCCCGATGCTAGCCTGCGCCCGGCCTGCCGACCCGCGCGGTCAGCCCGTTCAGTTTGGCAACAGGGCGTCAGTTCGAGCCCGCTGTTAGCGATTGCCCGAACCGCTAGCCGACATTGCCTTTTTTATTTTTATTTTTTTGTAAAAAAAACATAAAAAATCTCAAAAATTCAAAAAATTTTCTAAAAATTTCATAAACTTCTAAAAACTTCCTTTCTTCTCCCAAAAATAATATAAATAGACCCCCAAGGCCAAGAGGAAAACTGCACCTTCTCCTTCTCCTTCTGGCTTTCTAACAGTTGAGGCTTTTAACTATTTTCAGTTGGTGACTTTCCCTACTTAACTCGGCATCCCTCCTCTTGTGCAGAAGTTGAAGAATTTCCCTCTTTTTTCTTCTTTCTCCCTAGTTTTTCTTCCTCCTCTAAAGGTTTTTTGCTAACATTCGTAGGTGACTTTCCTTACTCAATTTTAGCGCTTCTCTTTAGTAGCGAAGTTAAAATAGGTGATCACACATCTGAAAGAAATCCTCCAGTCAAAGAAGATCATCTTGTGCACCGATCTAATGGTTCAAAGAAGACTCATAAGGCGCTATAGACAAATGATGTTATTTACACCATCACTGATGATTCTTTCATCTCCTTTAGGAAAAAAATTCATTTTCCTAATGATCTGGTGATGAAGGTGCCGACAAGATTTGATCGTGCCCGTTTTCCTCCCTCGGGATGTGTGACAGTTTATGAATTCAGTTTGCAAGCGGGGCTATGGTTTCCACCATCTCCTGAGTTGATTGATAGTCTGAAGACCTATAGAGTGAGTTTATCTCAATTTTTCTACAGGGTCATGTTGATTGTAATGGGTCTTATTGTACTTTTAAAAGATCATGAGGTTGTGCTATATTCAGAATGCCTTTCTCGGATGTGACGTCTCATTAGTGATACGTAGGATCGTATCTCCTTCAGATCCAAGTAGTTGGATATTCGTACTCGAGACCCATCGAATGGTTGGATTAGCGACTTCTTTTTGTGCAAAATGATTGGAATCTTCAAGAAAAATGGGAAAAATTGAAGGAGTTATCTGTTCCCCTTCATATTGAAGCAGAAGGTTTATTGAAGATACTCAAGCTTCCTGTTATCGATACCCTACATTATGATGTATGTTATTTGAGCAGATATATAGACAAAGAATACTTGTTCAAGGTGGGATTATCTACTCAAGTAGGAAGATCGCATGCCCAAATGTTAAAGAGGTCTCGAAAATTCTAGAGGCAGTCCCGCAACCTTCAAAAATTCATTCTAAGCGATCAGGGAGTGAGGGAGATTTGCAGGCATCAAAGAAGAAGAAAGCGGATGAAATTTTGACAGTCACAAGCAAAGGTCCTCGTATCTCTCCCTCCAAATTATATATTCTAGAAGATGTTTTGAAACATCAGTGTGTTGGCCGTCGACGGGCTGAGGAATTGGTGAGTTCACCTTTTCTTTTTTCCTTTTGTATTTTTTTAAAAGGATATGGCTCTTACAAAATTTTATATTTTTGTTGTTTTAATTGAATCAGCATATTGATTTCAAGCTTGAAATGACCAAGACCTTGAATGACTGGAACAACGAATTTGTAAAGGTCAAATATCTTAAGGGAGAATATAAAAAGAAATACAATGGCAAAGTCAAGGAAATGCGGACGGTGGAAGAGCAGTTAGAAGAGTATAGAGTAGAGCTGGCAAACAAGATAACTTCAGCCTCCTCACAGAATGAGCAGATGGATCGCCTATATATAGAGTTGGTGGATGCACAGGAAAAAATCAACCAATAGATGAGAGATCAGCAGATCCTTGAAACTGAGAATAAGAGGCTCCAGAGCATGTTGTCATAGAAAGAAGCCCAATAACTACCATCTACAATCATAGAAGAATTCAAGAAGTCTTTTTTCTTCAAGATAATTGTTGAGGATCAAATTTAAGAAGCTCGTAATCGTATCTATAACGTGGAGGTAAAGGCTTTAGAAGTAGAGTGCGTGGAGGATGGCTTCATTAAAGATTTCATGAAGGGCGTGCGTGTAGTGCAGTTTAAGACTAGAGAGGAGATCGAGGGGTTGACTCATAGTCAGGCTTATGGTGATCCTTCTTCAGACTCTGGTGGTGAAGAATTAGAGAGTGAATTGTAGAAGGCTTTTTCCCTGGAGGAGGATGAGGATGATATTGAGATCTTGTAGGATGGCTTTGATATTATTTTGTATAACTTTATTTTCTTTCTATTGATTATATGTGTGTTTTATCTTGATGCTTCCATATTATGTACTCGATGTTCAATGATATATAAAGAAATTATTGATATTTCTCTTTTTTCACATGTATATGAAATTGAATCAATTTTATTTCAATGAGAAATATTTTGACGGTCTTTTTTGACTTGAGTGAAAGCGAGATATATCCTCCTTGAATATCTTGACCTATCCGAGATTATTAATCAAAGCATTTGCTTGATAATTTTTAACCTATATGGAAGAACTCAGATTAAATCCCCCTTGAATTGATCATCTGGTTATTGGGATATAATATAGATTGTATATTTCTCGAATCATGGATAAAGATTTTGAGGAGTTTTTTAATCTTTTATAAGAGAAGATAATATCATAACAACGTGAACATCACATTACTGTATTATATAAGACAGTACAACAATTCCCTAGTATAACTTAGGGATACAGAAAAAGAGTTCTCCCACAATTAACATACAAGGGGTGTACAAAAAGTCAGCATAAAACTTGAAAGATACAAAGCCTAATTTTTTGGGGGGACATAACACAAGATAAATACTACCAATAACATAACACGAGACAAATAATATTATCAAATCCTACTGATAGTACTTGCAAAGGTTACCAACATTCCAAGTCTGGGGGAGTATTTTTCCACTAGCATCCTTCAATTTGAAGCCAGGCTTGACAATAGCTACCACCAAATAAGGACCCTCCTAGAGGGGAGAGAGCTTGTTACGCTGAGGGCCTTTTCCAGCGGCATCGGTGCTGCATAGAACTATGTCCGTAATAGAGATAGGTCGAGGTTTCACTATCTGATTGTAGTGATAAGCAATCCTTTGGTGGTATGCATCGGTCCTGAGTGATGCTTCATCTCTTACTTCTAGGAGGATATCCAAATTTATTATGAGCCTCTCCTCATTATTACTGAAGTCAAAAGTCTGAACCCATATTGCTTGGGAATCTAATATAAACCAGTATGAACGCTTATGTATCAAAATAGAGATTATATGAGATTTTTCCTGTAGGAGTTCTAGTAGTGGTCCGATAATCCTA